AAAATAGTTTGGAAATCGGCTGTAAAGAACCCTTTAACACATTTTTTATAGTTTGCAGCGGAAGAAACGTATATGGTTGGGGCATCCACATAGATATTGTTACAACTTTGAATTACCAAACCCATACACTATACCGAAAAATTTACTGAACATTTATTTCAAGTGCAAATTATTAAAATTTCCATCCTAATTAAATGTTTGGAGCAAAAGTTGACTAAACATTTATATTAAAGCTTTGTTCGTTTCTTATTTAAATGTTGATAGAGAATAAGTAACATTTCACTTATTCAGATTTAGAGATAGCCAATGAAGACTACAAAAATGGATCTGGTATCCATATAAAAATTGAATATCTGTATATCGATGTCCCAAACAGATATGTTTTCTTCCCGTTCGTAAAGTTTGTAAAAATAACCTAGAACCACTGAAAAACTCCTAACAGCATGAAGAATACATACTGAAGAAATCGATTTGCCTATATTTAAAAGTGAAAATTTCTCACTCGGCAGAGAAGCTGTGACAACAAATGGAGCGTCCGCAAAGCGCATGCGTTTACTATGTATTATTTGTTTAATTATTATCTGTTGTAACCGGGTGTTTTGAAATTATAAAAGAGCAACCAATGAAAGCAATGAAATTTGACACATGCGCTATGCAAGACACCCCCTTTGGTAACACACACATTAGGAAGTGGTGGGAATGACTTGAGGGAGGGTAGCATAGTGCACGGAAGTTTTCGATCGATATTGTATGGGGGTGTCGTCCGCGTTCTGCACTGCCTCCATCTTATGGACAAAATATAAAGAAACGCTAGTTAGTAGCCAATTAATAATACTACTCGTGCACAAAAATGGGAAAAAAATGTCAGTTCTTGTTTTAAAAAGCCGGTTCACGTAATATTATGTGGTGCCTTTTAAAATTATGTGTTTCCTCGGGCAAAAACGTGTGCACATGTCTCAGGTCAATGATTGGTTATTAAGGACACGCATGCCCTTCGAGAATTTCAATTTATGAATTATGTGCGTATATAATAACAGTAGTATTTACGAATCAACGCGCAGCACTAGTGTTTAAATAACAATACGCCAAGTGACACACAAATTGATAAAACAATACAATAACAATGCCGACAAAACATATATTTTATTTCAACATTCAATCATCAATTCATTCTCCTATATTTCTCTAACTTTACATATAATGTATCTGCAGATCTTTAAAATGAGACTTAAATTTACAAACATAGTAAGCTTCAATGACGTATGACAAAATTCACACAACTTGCCACCAATTTCACTCTTGTTATTATAAATACTATATATATGTATAACTAAAAGGTAAATTTAATTTGAGAATAATTTAATATTTTTTATTTGAAGCAAATAATTTTACGTATAAAGTCACTAATTAAAACAATCAAAAGTGGGTCATTCAAAAGAAATCAATGAACTCTGTATTATTTCAAAACTATAGTTATTATTCTTCCAATAGAAATATCTTTTTTCATTGAATACTTTTATTACGTAAACTGAGAATTATAATAAAATTTTTTATGTAATTTATTAAATATGCAGATAATATTCTTGAGATTATATTACTTTTTATAATAAATAAATTGCAATGATTGTTTATAGTTAATAGAAGTTTAGTGAGTGTAATTATTTATTTGACAAAACTTTTTGTGTTTCAGTTAATTTGACGTAACCTTATAATTAGTCAATTAGTAATTTTCAACTGAATTGTTAGTAGTGGAATTGTAGTTTTTGAGTATGCAATTTCTTATTTTTAATTAATTTAAATTTAGGTAAATAGAAAAACATTTTTTTGGGGTTTTAATATTCTAAATTGATAAACGCAAACCATTATAAACATTGGGTCATTGACTTTTATTGCAACTTTGTGATAATAATTTGTGTGCCACAAACATTATGAATTTATTAATCTTAACCCATTCAAGCACATGAACAAATGATTGTAATGTAACTTAAAAATTAATTACCAGAACATTGACTAATGCTTTGGAATCGTCTTTTATATAAGACAATTACATTTTTAACATATTGAATATTGATACACTTATACCTTCAGACGTAAAAAGTGAGATGCAATTTGGCCTTAATCATCTTCATATAGCTAGGCGTCATCAGGGCCTGATAGGGATCAATTTAAGAAGTGCCATTTTTTTAAGGATATAAAAGATTTAATTGCAAGTTTTTTAATAGTCCGTTTTCAGTAATAAAAAAAATTATTAAATAAAATGTTCTTTACAATTTTGAAAAAAGAATGTATATTCAAGTAACTTATTAAAAGCATGATTTCACTTAGGAATTCAGTTAACAGGGCGTAGTAGAAACAAGTAAGAAAATGTATAAATATTCATTTTTAATATAGTTTGAAAATAACAAAAGATAGTTGCAGAATCTTCACTGAATAATATTTTATAAAAATGTAAATTCATAAATTTACATAAATATGTAAAATCATCAGATTACATCTATGCAAAAGAATTAAATTTGATATATTTACAGCCTATTATCAAAGTATTGAAATATTCCAGATCAGGACCTGATTTAGAGCCTCCTAGAAAATTTCTCTTTATTGAAGATTTTGCCTTATTTGATCTAGATAACCACCAAACTGAAATTTCTATATACACGTAAATGGGACCACTTGCGCAAGAGAACGCAACCCGATATAAAGATATTAAACAAGGATCGATACATTATAGGTTCTACGACTTTATTTTTGCTTCCCGCCACGCAAGAAATCTCATTGACCTCCTTGACTGCTAACTTACTGTGCAGATATAGGTAAAAACGCAGTCAATAGGAAATCTATGCAGATGGTTCAATAAACCAACATTTTTCTTGCTAAAAGTTTTAGCATAAAATGTGCTTGAGTTTCATCAACTATCAACCAGATATAAGTTGGATAAACCATTTTTTAATCAACTAAATTTTATGGTAAAACTTATATGTGACACGAAAAGATTTTGGTAATAAGGCAAATCTTAATCAAGCCAATCTTTCTACATTGGACCATCGGTTTTAGTATAAGCTTGCGAGCCAAATTGGCAGACAATCATTTGATCATGAACTTCAATGGCTTAAAGTTAATCAACGTCTATTCCTTTTTAGAAATGAAAATATTGGCTCGCTGTCGATAATACTTTTGTGAAATGAAAAGAATATATTCACAGAAAAATTATAAAATTGTTCGAATGGCTTGTAGAAAAAAACGCAAAAAGTAGACTTAGTGAATGATAAGCTATAATTCAATATTTAGTGTCCTTAAAAATGTGTTCAGTAAGACTTTTTAAAAAGAAAAAGTTTCAATATTGAATGCGAATGTCTCAGTGCGGTAGCGACCTCACATGTATTTTGGATTCAGAAGGATTGTCTTGTTAAAATAAAAGAAAACGTCCAAAGGTTGTTAAAGAACCTGACAATTGTTTTTGGCAATGATTGGATATAATCAACATAATTCTGGCTACAACAAGCTTTTTACTCAGGTAACACAACTATAATCAATATTTAACAAGAATATAATTAGTCACAATAAAAAATGAATCAAATTTCACTCGACATAATTTCCATTGCACATTCAGTTAAAAATTATAGTATATTAATCACCAAATGAAATTGTAATTTTTGTGGAATTTATAAAAAAATTATTTTGAGACAAAATTTGTTGTCAAAGAATAATTATTTAACATTTTATGTTTTTTGTATAAAGTTAGTGAACGATTGTAATTTGTATCCAATTTTTATGAACAATAGCTTATTTTACTTTTCAAAGATTATTTGCAACAATGAGTGGTCTCTTTCGTCATATTACAAAAAACTTTCATGAATTTTTTTTACAAAAGTATGTAAAGAGTTGATTGTAAATTGAACGTTACAAATAGCTAAAACAAAAATGTTATCTATGAAAATTTGTATTTGTTTACAAACTTGAAACCAACAACATAAAATGTTAAATAATTGTTACTATTTATTGAATAAAAATAATTTTTTTAAAATTATTTAACCACATCTTTCAAAAGTGGATGAAATTAATTATTATAATTTTAATTTTTGTTAAGGACAACTTTTTAAACATCCGTAATTGAATATTCAATTAATTGTTATGATTAACCCAAACTGTCTTGTATCTATTTATTTGCTAATTTTGGCGTTAAATGCGGTGCACGCATATACAAAATGTAGGGTTTATTCTCGTTTTAAAAAGTAGTTGAAAAGTGGAAAAAGAAAACTATCTTTTATAGAAAAGATTTACAACACTGTACGTAACGCTGATGTTGATTAATCCACTCAGCGAAGTGTGGTCTATCCAGTGTCAAGCTATCGTACCGTAAGCGGCCTTTTTTAAAGTCAACTCGAGCATGCATAACAGTCCCTTACCTCATAAACCCCACACGTGTTATATATTGACCACCAGTTTACTTTACGACTTTGTAACGTTAGTACCTACATATAATTTTGCATACTTTATACAAAATTATCAATAATATATTGAAAATATACTACTTATACATGAGCTTTCAAGAAATTCTTCGAAATTTTAAATTGGTGGGTACATACACGAAAAAAGGTTGGGTAGCCGATTAGACTACGTAACTCAGCAATTGAAATACTTACCCAATTGATTAAGCTGTGTCATGTACAGAATAACGAGATGTTTTAAAAATGGTTGCACTCCGCGCTACCAATCTATTTTCTCGGTGTACAGTGAATGTTTTTGATTCTCAGATTTTTTCTTTTCAATAAATCGATTTTAGATTATTAAATACTTACCCAATACAGTGCCTACGACAATAATGTACAAACTAAATTGTTGTTATCATGAAATTGATATTGACGATGTTCAGAAAGTAAAAATTATTCATATCAGATAATAGCGAATTCCGCCATTATGTGCATAGCAAAAGAAAATTAATGATTTTATAGTTTAATAATATTTACGAAAGTATATAAAAACTTTTTTTTTTTTAATTTCAGGGCTCGGCGGATTCAAATTACTCACAGCCGAGTTCCGATCTTTCAGTGGATGAAGAAAGAGAAACCTTACGTCGAGAAAAAGAAAAACAGGCCCTCAATCAACTCGAAAAAGCCAGGGTGAGTACACTTCGTAAACTACAACTCTTTACGTGTATAGATATATAAAATAAAATAAGATTTGAATGCGCAGTTTAGAATCAAGTTTTGTTTAGCCCGCGGTCCAATGTAAGGCCCTTAAAATAAAAAAAGTATATTTTTTAAATGACAACTCTCTAAATTTGAATCAGCGACTATTCGCTTATTCGTAGCTGCATACTCTGGGCTGATTAAAATAGCGACTATTCGCTATTTTGAATTAGTGACTATTCACTTATTCCCATCAGCTGCATACTCTGCGCTATGAATAAGCGAATAGTCGCTAATTCAAATTTAGAGAGAACACTGATTTTTAAAAGGAAATTCGTCATCCTGCTAAAATTCTGCTTTCAGACATGTAATGCAAATGATGAACATATTTAGCCTTATTGCCTTATTTCATACATTCGACCCGAACTTATTCTACAATTAAGTGAATTCGCGAAAATCACTATTTGGGGGGTTTTTAGAAGTCACAGATTACGGTTTCGAAGTTAATTTTTAAATTAAGCTCGGAGCACAATGTAAAGCCCTATTAGAAATTTGACTTTGAAACTGTAATCTATGTGACCTCTAAAATTAAAATAAGTTTCGAGTCCAAAATCTATTTGATAAAGGCTCATTTATAGGAAAATAAATTTTTTTGTGCCCAGGGTCCAATTTGAAATCGTAACACAATTTTAGTGCAGAAAAGTTAATGAAAATGCTTTAAAATTCATTATAAATATATATAAATTAAAATCCAGAAAGTTTTAACTGGGATATCTAAGGAAAAATGTATAAAAATTTACTTTTAATATAGCCTTAAATTAATTCAGTTCTATTTCTATCGTACTGCGACTTTACCGACAGAGTTCTGTAGCACAAACTTGACTGGTTTTACCTTATTAGCCATCTCAGTGTGCGCTGATTTTAAAATATAAGTCGTTTCAAATTTGCGCACACTAGTTCAACTATCCAAAAATATTTCAGATCGAGCTGAAACTTACACAAAATATGGAGTTAGGTTTTATCAAAATAATAGGAAGGGGATGGGGTTATAATTTTTATAAGTAAAATGGGAACAGTGGATATTTGAAAAGTCGTAAATATTATAGAATAAGGTTAAACAATTTTGACCTATATATGTATATGTATATATACACCTTTAAATGGTGTAGATTTTATTACACTATTCATAGGTCAAAATTTTGTTAACCTTATTGTATAATAATAGTTACGACTTTTCAAAGAATCCAATGTTGAATCACTTGAGAAATTTTGCCCCTTATATTATATATACCTATATTGGAAAAAATAACAGCTGTGAATTATGTCAAAGCAGCATTTTTATCGTGAAGATTTGTAGAAAAATAAAAAATATTCAAAAGATTGCCGTACAATAATAGTATCCTACTTCCTGCTCGGTTTGATATTATTATACCTACCTTATTTTTGAAAAATATAAAAAATTCTAATAATTTTAATTGTTGTAGACGAAAGCAGTGGCCTTTGCAGTAAGAACGAACGTCAGTTACGATGGATCTGTTGACGATGATTCTCCAGTCCATGGATCAGCTGTCAGCTTCGATGTTCGGGACTTTCTCCACATTAAAGTAATTGATGAAAAATTTTAAACTAAAATATACAATTAAGGGGTCGGATTAATTAATTCATTCTATGGAAGTGGTTTAGTGTCTAGAATTTTTTAAAAAATGGGCCTTGAACTCATGAGCATAGTGTTTTTGGAAATTTTTGAAAAATCGTACTACTGAATCTCGACTGTTGGAACATATTTAAAATATAAAGGATGAACTTTGATTTCTAAAATAGATGACTAAAAATAAAATAGTAGTAGGTAAAAGTTGACATAAATGTTTACACATGATAAAGATTAAGAAAAGTGCAAAAAAGAGAGAGCTAAAATGTGTTTGTTATTTTATGCAATGCAGGAGAAATATGATAACAATTGGTGGATCGGAAGGCTAGTTAAAGAGGGTTGCGACGTGGGATTCATTCCTTCGCCAGTCAAGTTGGAGGCTTTGAGAGTACAAGCGAGCGCTGCACGCGGTACCAAGGGCCTCTATTCCACACGTGGAGGGTCTTCGGGGAACCTTGGTGAGAGCGGTATGCCCTCACGAGGTTCCACACCGCCCACACCAGGTACCTCACTACTTGTGAACGTCCCCATAGGCGTAACTATTTTAGGCTACATGGGGGTTAATTAACATTAGCCAAAACGGAATCTGTCATTTTTTATACCAGGGAAGATAAGAGATTCTACTTTCATTTTTATGTATTTGCAAAGTCATAGATTTAGCTAAAGACAATTGTCATCTTCTAGTAAATGATGTTAGATAATCGATTCTACCCTGGCAAAGATCGTTGAACCCCCTAGGACGTCTACAAGTTGTTACGCCTGTGAGTAGCCCTTATTTTTAAAAAGCTCTCACACCCTCGAAGACCCTCGAGGTAACTAATTTGTAAGGCAGCAGATAGCAAGTGTTGTTGCATGCAAAAGTAGAAGTAGATTTTTAAAAATGAGTGGTTTCTTTATGTTCTCCTTAGGTGACGACAGTGATAGCGTAGGAAATATTCGACCGAGTAAAGCAACACTAACAACTCCACCAGCTAAGGAAAAAAGGAAGAACTTTTTTAAGAAGCCGGTAAACTCTCATTAAATCACTTATTCGGATAATATCTAATATTTTGGCCAACAGAATCAGATTAGTTTTTATATCGCTGATCTTATATGGGTGATTCTCCTGAAATGTTTCTAAAATTTATACTTATTCCTGAGCAGCTAGCTCAAATTAATATTGTTACTGCTATGTATAGTCAGTATAATGTAAAATTTAACAAAAAATCTTGATATTTTTTTGACAATTCTATGCTAATAATTAATTATAATCGATTCAACAAATATGAGCCTTATTCATGCTAAAGTAGGATCGTAAAAATTGCTAACTGTTAAAAGAAAATAGATTTGATAATATTTATAGACATCGGAAAGGTCAATTTTAGGAAAATCACCCACAAACACACTTATTCACTGCAAAAACTTGTGTCTTCTTGGATGCAGACTCATTTAAGGCATCTTTTGGTGTTGTTTCATCTTTGTCACGAAGTAGTATTTACTCTTCTCGTAAAATACTCAATGGATTCAACTAAGATTTTCTAGAGAAGCCTCAAATATAACAAGGAAGGGCTGTGACATGAGGAAATTGTAACATTTTTCTGAAATAAATATTACAAAATACTTGTAAATTGTTAGAAAATCCGATCACATTTTCCAAGTATTTTATAATATTTGCACTTCACTGCCCACCTTTATCATATTTTAGACTTGTCCGAAAAATTCCAGCTCAATTCATTTACCATTGTACGAGAAACCCAACAGATAATTATGACCTAGCAGTCACATATTGATAAGGAGCTCCCACTGCAAAGCAAATTTCAGATAATTTTAATGGCGTTTTTTCTTTTCTGTTAAGCTGTGCTTAGGTTGCGATTCTAGCGCTTGTAACTCAGGTGAGAGATGGCTTTTTACCTTAGAGGTGCTTCATTCGCAAACTGCGCACGTGCTCAAAAAAAATATCACTTCTTCTAGAGAATGGAAGCTCCTTATGTAATATTTCATTATCTTCGTTAAATAAGTTTAAAGGTCAGTTGCAAGCGTTTCCAATACGCCTGCTGTGTTGCACATTTAAAAAATTACTTATTCCCAAAAGCTTTTCTTAAATGTCTCAGTGTCTTATATTTGAGACAACTGTTTTTGCAGTGAGTTAATTTATATAAGAATCATTAAATAAAGAATATTTTTGTTAAAATTTTTTCAATTCAAAACTCATTTCAGATTCTACAAATTGCTAGAAGTAAGTTCGCACTCGCCTTCGAGTGCAAACTACTCTGTGACTCGAATTATTAGAGTGAGAACCAACTCTTATACTGTAAAAGGAAATATCCAGTGTCAAGTCTAATCAGGTGTTAGTGAAATAAATTCTACAATTAGTTTTATTTATAGTAACTTGTAGTTACTTTGAAGATGTTTCTTTATGCAGTGTATACGGAGTGGATAATTTCTCACTCTAACTGGGATCATAATTTTCTTTGTAGAAGACTGAAAGCTTACTTCCAGAAATTTATGAAAAATCAAACTATATTTTTAACGAAATAATATGTTCTTCGCGTTTTGCTTACTAGCCCTAATTAACAATTATTTATTGTATAAGTAACAAACAATAGTAGATATGAAGTTAATATGAAATAGGACTTTACCAGTAGTATATGAAAAACTTGTGAAACATTATTAGTTGCTACAAAAATATGTTACCATGCATGTGTTTCCACCGGACTTATAGTCATTAAATAAAATAAGAATATGCTACATTAAATTGGCATTCAATGGAATTTTGTAGAGAAGTTTAAAATATGATAATGAAGGGCAGTCAGGTGCAAAAGTGTTGATATTTGTTAAAATAAATAGAAATTATTAGAAATAATATTCTAATCTAGCCTCGCACATTTTCTAACAAATATCAAAAGTTTATCACCTCATTGACCTTCCTTATCTTTACAATATTTCAGCTCAATCCATTTACTATTTTATGAGAAAAGTGATCGAAAAAATTAACATAAACTTATTGTTAACAAAATTTCAGTTGAATTAAATCTGTCAAGTATTTTACGAGAATGTGACATAGCAGTCATGTCATCTCCTTTAGTAGTCTGATGGAAACGCATGCCGTCAAAATCCGAAATATTTATAAACATACCCAAACTGTCTTGTGAGATCACTATAAAAATGGATGTTTTGTTTTGAAATATTTTTAGCATTTTCGTTTATGAAATTTTTACTTAAAATACATATTTTACATAATAATGATTATTATTTTATCACTCGGATGTATTTAATAATATTGATCACTCCGAGTCAAGTCAATTTCCATAAAGTTTTTTCGTTGCAGTACTCACATTAATTTTACAAGTATGAATTAGAATTCATATAGGTATTTTAGAGAAATTTATAATTAACCGGCTTTTTATTATAATTATTTGTCTTTTTTTAGTTAAAATTAGTTTTGAATAAAATAACTTGGTGAAAAGTATTTTAGATCGAATTGTCATCTCGATATGATTTATTTGATCGTATAATAAATTAGAAATTATTAAAGTTTTGGAAGATCTGCTGCATTATTATACATAATCGAGACGCAGATCGGAGCTAAAATCCTTGCTACTATTTATTTATAGAATAGATGTAAATTTTTATAGAGAAAATAAGCCTAACCTATTTCAATAGCAATGAGAAATAAAACTCTCCTTACAAGTATGAGTTAATAATTCCCACTTTTTACTTTTATAAAATTTAGTCAATTCAAAATTATCTTTCATAGGTCAAAATTTAATGTTTATCGATATATATTTTTTCACTCAAAAAGGTACTTGACAAGAATTTTTAAACCAACAGAAACTAAAGTAGTGATTAAGATTAAGTGGATCAAGAATCCACATTTAACGGTTCTTGCAAGAAATTTTAAATTTTGAGAAGATGCTCGTTCCCAGATAGACTTGTTTGTAATTCTAGAATTAGATGTCATACGGTAACAATAATGATTTTTAAATATTTTAGTGAATACTTGTTTTTACTAGATAGTTGGAGAAAATGAAAATGAAAATGAATGAAAATTTGTAGGTAAATCAGAATTGATGAATAAACTGTGAAATCTAGAACGTATTGACGAAAAAACATTGTAAAAACTAGTTCTCACTAGACAATTTTTGTATTGACTACCCAATGGGAAATAGATTACTGTTGCAGTACTGCACATATCTTTTGTTTTGTCCAAACATTGTTGCAATTTGACAAACTTTTCTCATTGGGTAATTTCTGATTTTAAGGGTAACATATATATTTAAAGTAGGTATTGTTTTGAATGTTGACATATAACAAGATAGGGTTAGTTAGTAGAAGGCCAGTAGAATTAGATCCAGATTGTATTGCGTGGTCAAACTTAAATTATTTCTCACTTAAAGAAAATGTAAAAATTTTGACCATGCAACATAGTATGGAATGCATGTATAAAATTTTCACGGCCATTAACTGTTTCCAATGTTTTAATGTTTGCATTCCGTGCTCACCAAGTCCTACGTAAGTGAGACTTTCCTGCAGGTTTCTGTGTCTTGCCGGCAACGGGCTTTATTAATGAGTGAATATTATTTCAGGAAACGGCAACACCATATGACGTGGTGCCTTCAATGAGACCAGTCGTTTTGGTAGGACCATCACTCAAAGGATACGAAGTGACTGACATGATGCAAAAAGCACTTTTTGATTTCTTGAAACATAAGTTTGCGGGAAGGTAACTGTTCAAATAATTAAGTAATAATAATAACAATAATAATGTACTGAATAATAACCATTTTCAGAATCATTATAACTAGGGTAATGGCTGATATTTCCTTGGCTAAGAGATCTTTACTAAATAATCCAACAAAAAGAGCAATTATGGAACGATCATCAAGTAGGAGTAGTTGTTTAGCAGAGGTTCAAGCCGAAATTGAACGAATATTTGAACTCGCTAGAACGCTTCAGGTATTTCATTGACGAGTGAAATTTGAAAAAATGAAACATGTAATGATTAACATTTATTTCAGCTCGTTGTTCTCGACTGCGATACCATCAATCATCCGTCACAGTTAGCAAAAACGAGTTTGGCACCTACGATTGTCTATTTAAAAATATCGTCTCCTAAAGTTCTTCAAAGACTAATTAAGTCACGCGGCAAATCACAATCACGTCACTTAAACGTACAAATGGTAGCAGCTGAGAAACTTGCACAGTGTCCTGATGAAATGTTTGACGTTATTTTAGATGAAAATCAATTAGATGAAGCTTGTGACCACGTTGCTGAATATCTTGAAGCATACTGGAGAGCAACACATCCTCCAGTTGTACAAGCCGTACCTCGAGCTATACCTGCACCTGATGCACCTGTAGACGCACTATCACCTCGCGTTACATCAGGTATTTACTTTTGTATTTATGTATATTATTCCTGCAATTTTTTCAGGTTTAAACAATTTTTTAAAATAAAAAAATCTTTAAATTTAAAATTAATTTTCTAAAAACTGATATTTAAATAATGTTCAGTTTTCAATGTTTTTCTTAATTTATTAATTTTTCCGTAAATAATTAATTTTTTTTGCAACACTAACCTCTAAAGTTAAATTTTACACACCGAAAAGTGTGTGTAAAGATGCTCTTTTTAAAATGGTGTGTAAATTGATTCACTTTACGCACCGAAATTTTTCTCACATAATATAAGGATTTTTTTAGACCATACAAAACCACAAAATTAAAAAAAGAACTTTACTTTTAAATTTATACACTACTGCTTAATGATATTTTTCCTGATTTTCGATTGATTTTTTTAATTCTATACAGTCGAAATTATTCTAATAGAGAGTTGGAATTCTCCATCATAGGTACTTAACTTTAGAGGTGGGTATTGTAAAAAATGTTGTATGATACACGTGCGTAAATCTGATTATACTCGTGTGATCACTCACTTTACGCACTTGTATCATAAATAACTATTACACAGCCCCACAAAAAAAAAAAAGTGTCATGTACTTTTGACCGGAATACCCTAACCCTATGTATTTTGACGCGCTGAACACGAATCCGAAGTCCGTTTTGCTCCATCACGTCAGGATTTTTTTCTAACCTCAAAAAACATGTCGGATTTTGAGAAGTAGGCGATTTTTTTAAAAATTGATGTATTAATTTCAAACTTGGTATCTGGGGGTTTTTTGTGTCGCTGATTACGAATCTGAAGTTAGATTTTCAAAATCCAAAATGGCGGATCCAATATGGCGGACGAATTTTGAAAAAATTTTAAGATTTACTTCAAACTTGGTATCTAGGGGTTTTTTGGGTCGCTGATTACGAATCTGATGTCAGATTTCCGAAATTCGACATGTCTGATTCAATATTAAGGAATTATTTAAAAAAATTGTCAGATTATTATGAAATTTGGTATCTACAGGTTTTCTAAGTTGCTGACAAGTAACACTAGGGAAGTGCCATACGACGATTTTTCTGAAACTTGGCAGTTTTGTAGTTTTTTAAAAACAATTTGACACGTATGTTTTGTTTTTCCCCAAAAGCTGATTTATGGGGGGGGGAACTACCCCTTGAATTTTTTTTGGTAGGGGGACATTATTTTACGAAATTTTTTAAAAATTAATGTGCAATAGTGTATCTGGGGGTTTTTTGAGTCGCTGATTACGAATATGATGTCAGTTTTCAAAAATTGATAATGGCGTATCTAGTATGGCCGATAGAAGTCCATGTTGGATATGCCATTTTAAATTTTTGAAAACTGACATCATATTCGTAATCAGCGACCCAAAAAACCCCCAGATACAGATAATGGCGTATCTAATATGTCCGATAGAAGTCCATGTTGGATATGCCATTTTGAATTTTTCAAATCTGACATCATATTCGTAATCAGCGACCCAAAAAACCCCCAGATACCAAGTTTGAAGTAAATCTTAAAATTTTTTCAAAATTCGTCCGCCATATTGGATCCGCCATTTTGGATTTTGAAAATCTAACTTCAGATTCGTAATCAGCGACACAAAAAACCCCCAGATACCAAGTTTGAAATTAATACATCAATTTTTAAAAAAATCGCCTACTTCTCAAAATCCGACATGTTTTTTGAGGTTAGAAAAAAATCCTGACGTGATGGAGCAAAACGGACTTCGGATTCGTGTTCAGCGCGTCAAAATACATAGGGTTAGGGTATTCCGGTCAAAAGTACATGACACTTTTTTTTTTTTGTGGGGCTGTGTTATCGTTCTTGGGCTTTTTTAATTAAACGTTTCATCACAATTTTAATTTTTTGCAAGCATTAAGGGGAGGGATATCTATATTTACGTTGTTGACAATGTGCACCGTACATCTGACAGCACAGTTACACGTAACTGCAGAAATTGCTGCTCCCATCTTGAAAATTTTTCACTGACAATGCCAGGAAAGCTTACTTGAAGCAGAAAAATGTACTCTTGTGTAGAAAAATTGACGAAGAAACTTAATGGAAACTTTCTTTGCAATTTTCACCTCTAAATTATGTGCAGTAGATTTCTATCATAGTTATGGCTGCGAAATAATTTTTTGAAACCTTCCGTAGGGGCCACAAGGGTGTATTACAAATATCTTAACCTTTAATTCCATCTTTTGCAGAGTCTTTTCTGAACATTGATGGAAACAAAAAAAATGGATTTATTGTCTCAAATTTAACCGTTAATCTTTCTTCATAAGCGGTCATTTTTCTTCTTCGATCAAGCTTTCTTAACACTGACGATTTGTAAATAAATTATTATAAATACAGTAAAACCCCGTTTATCCAAGCTCGCTTTATCCGAGGTGGTGTCCCAGTAGGAAATTCTGTATTATCTGAATCTAGTCTACTTCATCCGAGTTATTTTTAATTTTAGTTTTTTATAAATATGAGTTTATTTGTAATAAATTCAAATTGTTTAAATTATTATGGAATATATACAATATTATTTTCCCGTTTGTAATAAATAATAATTGTTTAAACAATAATAATGTAAAATTGTAATAACAATTCGGATTATCCGAGTTTTCGCCTTATCCGAGGCAGGTCCGGTCCACATTAGCTCGGATAACCGGAGTTCTACTGTAAATTCAATTTCATAATAAAAAATACTATTGAACATTAAAGTACACCCAACAAAGTAAAAAAAGCAATAATCATTTCCGGAGAAATTCTTTTAATTTGCACTGGGAATTTTAAGTTATTAATTTGTACGACTTAAAAATTAGATTTAAAATTTCTCTGGAATTTTCTGAAATTTGACCTTGAAAACCTGGAACAGACCTGGAACCTTAATTAAAGATTTTTGTATGAACCATAAAAACGTCACAATTGCATTGAAAGACTTTTCGTTTAAATGACAAACGAGCGATTAACATTTATCGAAGGTTGGTTTTTAAAAAGAATAAAATTCTACTTTTACACAGAACGTTTTAGAACTTTTAATCCTCAATATATCGTAATCAATAAGAGAGCTATTATATTTTTTTGATACGAAAAATCTTTCAATGTGAGTTCGTTTTGGGTTTGTAAAATTAAAGTGTAATGATGGACTGAGATAATATTCTTTTTAAGGCCACTGCGGTCTGTTGTATTATTATTATTTTAAAAAACTGAGCTTAAATATATTTTTTACAGTTGAAAATAATATCATTAGGTCTTTGTTGAATGATACGGAATTTTAAAAGTTGTTTAGCATGGTATATAATATATCGCTCAATTTGTATACGTACACATTATTATTTACAAACTTTGAATTAAATTTAACTCAAAAAAATATTTAATTTTGCAGCAACAGATATTTACTTAAAGTCTCACTAATGATTGACAAATTTTGCTTCAATAGACTCATATTGTTAAATTTATCACTATAAAAATTCATCTCACTTTAACCAACGTGGTTTTATTGTTGTTATTGGGTCACGCGATTGTTATTATATTAATTTCTCGACAAATGATAAATGAATTAAGCTGGAATTGTGCGAAACCCAAGCAAAAATTTACAACCGGCGCAGTGTTGCGCCAGTACTGGCAGTTACTGGCAAAGTACTGACCGCCAATATTGAACCAATACTGGCATATGTTTGGGATGATAATGTTTATTAGCACTGGTCATTAGTAATGGCTTAGTACTGGCGTTCAGTACTGGTTCAATACTAGAATTTAGCAGTAATTCTGTATTTTGCCAATACGGGCAAAATCATAGTAACCAGTAATAAGCCAGCACTGGTAGATATTCAAAATTCAGGGTTCTTTTTGCTTTTTACATTAATTGAGCAGCTGGATCGAAGAACCGACTCATAGCATTAACTATTATTAATAATAACTATTATTATAATAACTTTTAAATTGTTATTTTTTTATATTAACATTTTACTCTTTATTTTATTATTCAAATAATTTCTTCAAATATTATAAAATATATATTTATTTGTATTTCCTTAAATTACCGAAATTGAATGAAATTATTGGTTAAAATAGAGTTTATTTGATTCAAATACATTTTTTCAGTGTAAGAAAAATAATTTGAGAACTTCATTAATTATGTATTTTTTTTATTAAAAAGTTTTAATATTAAATTTAAATTTCATAATTCCGTTAACGAACGCATTGCAGTAATCGAAAAGAAGTATTAAAATAATTTTAAAAAAATATGTATGTAATTTAATTTCTAACCAACAAAAATACACAATTTTCACGTCTACGAAGTTGGCGTCGACGCTCAACGTCGAAAATTATTTTTCTCGGGACCAAAAATAACAAATAATTTTTAAAAAAGTTTTGGGTTCACATAATACCTTAAAAAGTATTTCTTAAGGCATTACATATTATGGACCGAAAATCTTTAAAAAAAAAAAAGTAATTTGACATTTTAGGTCCTGTGAAAAATAATTTTCGGCGCTGAGCGTCAACGCTAACTTCATGGAGGTCAATTTTGATAATTTTTCTGGATACTGGCATTCGGTATTGAATTAATACTGACCGAGTACTGGTTTGCCATTACTGTCTCAATAATACTGGCACAGTACAGAATTTAATCCATATCAGTACTGAACCAATATTGGTAAGCCAACTGTCGGCCAGCCAGTATTGGTGCATGATTGCGCCTGTTGTCAATATCGGCGTTTGACAGAAATTTTTACTTGGGAAGTATATAATAATTTAGATTTTTTCACATAGCTCAATTCATTTAATATTTTAAGATAAATCCGACCTATAAATGAAAATTGAAACGATCACGTCACCTAATAATCACATTTTGTTAACAAACATTTTTTTCATATTATTTATAATTAATTTTGATCTCACATTAATTTTAACATATTTGATTTTTATGAATAAATTAACACTGAAATCTTTTCTTAACATCTTAGGTGGACATCATGATGTTTATATGATAAGAGGTAACCCAATCTTTTCCTGAAATTTATTTGTTTACAGTATATTTAAAAATATCTAATGCACGTAGTTGTTGCATGTCTTAAATTTAGAGGTTCGATAAACAATTTCCTATTTCAAAGCCTGTTACATAAAAATGAGAGCTCGTATTTAAAAGAAAATTGCAACACAATTCAACACATTTCTTCAGAATCCTATGCTACAGAATTTATCTCATATTTTACAAAACCTATATAGTATATATATATATATATCGTGTTGCACAATTCTCCAGCATTCATTTTTTATATATATAAAAACAATATTTTCTATCATCAGAAATGTAATATTTTTTTCGATCAATTTTACGAAAGCATTAAATAAAATTAAATTTAAAGATTCTTTTTATGCAATGGTTATAATGAAACATTATAGAGGGGGTTTTTTCGCGTGAATATCAGTCATGCACACTAAGTATCATTTTCTAGCTCATATTGTGTTTCTTTTCAGCAATTATGTATGGCTCAACACACTTGTATCCACAGCAATGACAGTTAGTTTACAATTTCTCTTCTGTTTCAACGATTTCTTTGTCTCTATATATGCACATTGCTCATTTGCGACACATTTTTATTTATTTAATTTAAAATTATTTCTATTCCAACGCTTAATGCGCATGTCGAGCTCCTTTTTTTCGATAACATAACATGAGTATTTGTGCGCAGATGAAAACCAAATGCAATAATTACAAAAAAGTAAATTAACATATCAGTGAAATATAATAATGCTCCAAAACTAATTAAACTAATATAATTATTAATATAAACTAATGCTCATATACGTTAGTATACATACATAAAAATGGGAAACAATAAGGGAAAAAGAAAATTCCACATTCCATGTAAAAATTATCATTTTTACTACCGTGATCAGAGAGAAATAGAAGAGTAAAACAGAAATAACATGTATACATATTAATATAAATTAATGAATTTCTTATAAGAGTAGAAAATTTAAGTTAGGGAGTTACAAAAGATAACACACGTCAACAAAATTTTCTTGATTAAAATGGCAAAGCCGATTCTGATATGGGATTCTTAAAAATATTGAATTGACTAGTTTTCGAGCAATTTAGGTTTAAATCTGCTAAACACCGGGTATGTTATTGGCAAAGAGACTTAATATAACTATCTGCAAAAGACGCAATAAAAAAATTACCTTTATTTTTCTTTTATTCTCAGTGATTGTTCGAAACCATTTTTTGATATAATACTGGTCGACAGACAGTTTCATTGCGTCGCTTTACTATTTTACAGATGTTGAATAAAGTTCAAACCTTGTTTGATAGAAAACTAGAGAAAATCCAATATATTTCTGACATTACAGAAAAAATCCTTTAAGAATCGAATATAACATTTGAGTCAACATGAATTTATTGAAATTTTATGGACTTGGTTCTATATTAGAGCTTATACCAAAGTGATGTTAAAGGGCGCATTACTAAGTGCAAAAAATTTTTCTGGCCCCGACCGTGAATTGTGAATTTAAGAAAATCCGAATTTCAATCCTATCAATGCCAGTCAGTTCCCGATCGGGGTCACATCGAGAAATTTCTGCATGAATGCGGGGTTCCTTACATCTTTAATAATAAAAGAAAGCTCTGATGTGCTTTTCTTCTGTTCGGTTTAAAAGACTTGGAGGCGGTGGCTGCCACAGGAATCATCCGAAAAGAAGGCAAAGTCACCCTAAGTCGGGAATCCAATAAGTCCAAACGAAGAGAATCAAGTTAAGTTTTCCCTACTGTGGTCATTTCCTTTGAGAGAGGTGTATGAACTCTCCTTTTTTTTCTCTTTCTTTCTCCCATACTCAGCAATTTTTGCGGATCAATTGGTCATCTGACTTGGTTCTGGTCATAAGATTAGCTGAGAAAATAAAGACAGCTCTAGTGGTCCGTTGGTTACCTCGCGTTGTAAGTACGATTTGATGCATGGATCAAATGAGACCAGATTTTCAAATTTTCAAGCATAGATTACCCTATAGAATAACTTATAGTTATAGAACGTGTTTTCATCCCTTAATCAAAAATCTTTAATTCTTTCATTTTTTATTTCATAATGATAAAACCTTCAAGACATCGGACTTGTCTGACAGTTTTAACTTTCTATATTTTTATAATGAGAATAAATATTTATTACTATTACTGTTTACATTAACTTTTTTAAAATTATTTTAAAGTTTATATTTTAAGTATTCTTGTAAAGAGTCCGAAGTCTGCTAAATAGTGAATATTAACTTATTATTTTCATTTAAGAGTAATAAGAATTACTATTCAATCATGCATCACTTAAAAAACATATTACATACCTTACCCATATAATTCATGTTTAGAAAAAAGGCCAATCAATCTTAGAAGTTCAGTGGAAGTATGTAATTATTGTAATGATGTTTCAAATTAACCGCTCAGAGGTGATATGGTTTCTTGAAACCGCGGGGGTAGTACATATTTATATTACAAAGTTTTTTAAAAATCGTTTTCCATAAAGTACAATTTCACACTATAGATAGAGCTTATTACAAGATAATTTAGAAATTAATTTTATCGACAAATAATTATTGAAATTAAATTTTGTTCTGAAAATGCACCGTACTATAGTACGCCTTTATGAGAATTAAGAGCATTTGAACCTTCGTGACGTCACAAATCATGGCGCATGACACGCAAACTTCTCAGGTATGTGAAAAGCACAATTTTGAATATTTTTTAAAAAAACCTTTTGGAAAATATTCAGAATAACACAGACTCTGTCTGTTATGTGCGAAAAATTCAAAATTTTGCGTTTAAAACGTTTTTTAAACAATGTTTAAGTTGGTTGTCACAAGTAAGGAAAAATACACGAATTGCTTATATGTAGGCCATTTTTGGAACTTAAACATTGTTTAAAAAACGTTTTAAACGCAAAATTTTGAATTTTTCGCACATAACAGACAGAGTCTGTGTTATTCTGAATATTTTCCAAAAGGTTTTTTTAAAAAATATTCAAAATTGTGCTTTTCACATACCTGAGAAGTTTGCGTGTCATGCGCCATGATTTGTGACGTCACGAAGGTTCAAATGCTCTTAAGGCATGACGTTCCTCCATCGAGTGCGAGTGCCTTGTTTTATGGAGGTTCTACAATAGGTCTAAATTTTTTTCCTATAGGTCAAACTATAGAACAAAAATTTAGCCTTGGACTTGCCTTTTACACCTATTATAAAACCTCCATTAAAGATAGATCTCCCCCGTTAATGAATTGTGGAAAACCCAATAGACCTTTTCATTTAAGATCGAAAGTTGGAGTTAAGCCAAGACATAAAGCTCGATCCACAATGTTTCGAGCAACTTTAAATGAAAATGTATAGTGTTTTGTAAATTTTATTCAAAAACTGAAAGAAAAACGTATTCTATGATCGAAATCAATGTTTGTAAAGGTAAACATAACCCGGCTTAAAAAACTTGTACAAGAAAATGTACAAGTTCTTGTACATGTTCATGACCGAACTTGTACATTTTCTTGTACGTGTTCAGCATCCGGAATTGAGACATTTTCTTGTACAGGTTCAAGTAAATTTTCTTGAGTCACCAATTGAACTGGTACAAGTTCACGTACATGTTCCTCCCTATTGAAAATCCCTGTACAAGATTTTGTACAAGAAAATGTACAATTTCGGCACCAAAATTTGGAACAAGTTCTTGTATCAGAACTTGTACAAGATCTTGCACAAGAAAATACATATTCTTGTGCAGGTTCATTTATGTCTTCGTTGGGTAAAAATTAAAAACTTTAAAGGCTGCGCAGTAGTAGTTTTAATTTTTAGGTATAAAGATTTTTGATTTTATGAAAAATATTTTTTTAATTTCTTAATGATATACATACAGGGTGTTCCAAAAGTAAGGAAACTTGCAAATATCTCGAAAAGTACGAATTTTCGTAAAAAATGTTCAATACAAAAGTTGTGCCAAACAAAAATATCTACATTGTTGAAACCAAAAAATTGGGCCCCGGGCCCAATGTTGGGCCCTACAATGAAAAAAGTAGTTTTCTTAAATGAGACCACTAATTTTGAATATCAGATTCGTAATCCCCATGAAATTCTGCGTTCAGACATGTGGTATAAGTGCCGAAAATATTGGGCCCAATCCAAGATATCGGGCCCAACATTTTTCGACAAAGAAATAAATTTAAAAAATCCTATCTTTGGGGGTTTTTGGGGACACAGGATTACAAAATTTAAAGCTACTTTTCAAATTGGGCACAGAGCCCAATGTAGGATTCCGCGGCCCAATGTAAGGCCCACAGTAAAAAAATTAGTTGTCTAAAATAAAACCCACTAATTTTTAGTATCCATTTCGTAATCGTCATGAAATTTTGGATTTAGTTTTGTAGTACAAATGCCAAAAATATTGGGCCCAATATTTTTGGCATTTAGACTTATTTTTTTAATGTGGGCCTTACATTGGGCCGCGGAATCCTACATTGGGCTCTGTGCCCAATTTGAAAAGTAGCTTTGAATTTTGTAATCCTGTGACCCCAAAAACCCCCAAAGATACGATTTTTTAAATGTATTTCTTTGTCGAAAATGTTGGGCCCCATATCTTGGATTGGGCCCAATATTTTCGGCACTTATACCACACGTCTGAACACAGAATTTCATGGGGATTACGAATTTGATATTCAAAATTAGTGGTCTCCTTTAAGAAACCTACTTTTTTCATTGTAGGGCCCAACATTGGGCCCGGGGCCCAATTTTTGGGTTTCACCAATGTAGATCTTTTTGTTTGGAACAACTTTTGTATTGAACATTTTTTACAAAAATTCGTACTTTTCGAGATATTTGCAAGTTTCCATACTTTTGGAACACCCTGTATAGTAACAGAGAAAGATGAGACCTAATATGTATTTTTTCAAGAGAGATGTAACCGTTTTCTAATTTTTTATGTATTTCCTGTATTTTCTGCGTTTATTGTGTATGATCAACATTTATTTTTCAAATTAAAGACTTATATAAAGAAAGTGGGAGGAGGACAATATGTGCAACAAGTCTCTTATACTCGCACCTAAATTGAGTATTTGGTACCTGCACTATTTATGAATAATTCGGAGAGTTAAAAACTAGCCGACACTGCTTAAAAATCGCCTACAAAAATAGTATGTATGTATTTAACTTAAAGAGCGGAAAAGGAGTAAATCGTTAAGTTGTCTTCCAATTTAAAATGTTATAGCACCATCAATGTCATTTGATGTTATACCTACTTACGCAAATTTTAACTCTTTAGATTTTTACTCCCTATGTGATTCAGCTTCGAAAATTTATTTCTTTTCTTATTCTGTTTTATTGCACGAATTCATAATTTCATAATATTCACTGCTTTAACTTACACTCTATAACACATTCTTTCAAAGCATGTTAATGCCTTGTGTTTTAAAAACTGTTTCTCGCTTCAAGATAAAAAGATAGAACTCAGTATTAAGTAGATAATTTTATTAAATGCAATTCGAACATTTTCTAATCTAATAACATTTACACAATAAGGTACCTAAGGTACTGCCTTCTATCTTTAGAAATAAAATGATTTCAAAATTTATGTAAAGCAGGAAATAAATGTAGCAATAAAATGGATTATTCTTAAATGAAAAAATTGATATACTTTACCGTTGGAAATTGTCAAGAGTACTATTAAAAACACATCTGTTTTTAAACTATGATAACTTAGTCAATATATATGTGAATTGGACAGTTAAAAGGGACCTTGTCCGAAAAAATCGGTTCTTTGCAATTTATCATCGAAAAAATAGAAATCGATTTTTTTTAACGTAAAGTCCCTTTAAACTGTCCAGGTCTCATATAAATGAACACCATTGAAAAGTTTACTAAATTCTACGTCTAACGATATTGTTGAAAATTGTATAGCCATTAAAAAATTATATCACTTGACAAGTTTGGAAAAAAATTCAGAATTTTTTTATTTTCGTATAATATGTATGACTAGCAGCAAAACCAAGAAAAATTTGTAGAAAAATTCTGAAATTTATACCAGAACACCTTAAATTATACATTTAATTTAAATCCAAGAAAGAAAAAATCTTAAGGGGTTCCCAACATACTTTCGAGCATATTTTTCAATAAAATCATGTGATTTGTTGAATTTTTATAGTCAATTAAATGGTATTTGTTTCAAATGCAGAAATTATTTACATACATATTTATTAATAATCAAGTAATTGACTAAATTTTTTCAAGTGTATAAAAAAAGAGTTACAGTGTCACAATCAACAATTCTAATATACTTAAATACATATCCAATAAATAATCCAGTAAACAAAAAGAATTGGACGATAGCGGTTTACGGATTGGCCTGTCGTTTTTTGAATCCGATTTATTCTGACAATTGGTGAAATTTTTTAGGCGTGAAAATAAAGGTAATTAAGTTGTACCGGGCACAATAATAAAACTAATTAGAGAAACGCGTGAGAAAAATTTCACTTCGCTATGGGTAACAAACAGTGCTATCGTCTAATTCTTCTTTTGACTCCTGCTTTACTGCAATTTATTTTTTTCGGTAATTGTTTAAATAAATAATGCTTTTGTGAATTTCTAATTTTCTTTATTTGTATCAAGTGTTTTGGACACATTTTAGTACCAAAAGAAGAAACTTGAAATTACTGTTTTTTGTACACAAATATATCGAAAAAAACTTGGTAAGATTTTGGAAATACGCAAGAGCCAGTTATTTAAATAATGACTTTTTTCAATATATAATATTGTCATCGATTATACTGTGTGCTTCACGCCATACAGGTTCCACTCGTCGATCACGCCTTGAAAGATTGGATCGCGAAACCGAGGAGGAATATAGCGTAGAGTACAACAATCGGCGTCGTCAACAGGATTGAGATCAACCAAGGCCCCGGGGCCTTATTCTAGAACTAAAACTACGAACTACAGCCCTTTAGTTCTATGATGGTTTTAATAATTTTTGGTACTCATCTTCGTCAAAGAAGTCAGTACTTTCATGATGGACAACCTAAAAACATAATCATTGTTGATAAATTATTTATATTTGTTATAAATTTCATAGTAAAACGTGGGGAGTAAATTTGACTCTTTAAAATAAATCAACTATTCAGAAGAGTATTTTAAAGATACTCTCAAAAAGAGACAGGAAGAGAAAAAGAGATAAATTATTTTTGTTGAACCTTCTTTTAATTCCTTAAAAAAGGAGTAAAATTTATTCCCTGTTTTACTACAATATAATATATTAAGCATTTACATGTAATGTCTTAATTCAAAAATTCAATTTCTCAAAACAAAGTGAAACTTGAGGAAATTGTTGATCTATATGGTGGTAATATAACCCAAGAATTTTTTTTTACTTTTTTTTTTGAATGCTCTTTTCATTGGTGAATTCTGTTCTTTAATGTTTTTGAAATTATACCTTCATTTTTTTGCCTGTCAGAATGTTTTCAGGCCCACGAAAACAAAAGATTTTGTTCATAAATGATGTTATCCGACAAATATGTTTTTATTACGTATGTAGATAAAAAACATTAAAATAGAGGACGATGACAAACAAAATTGACTAAATTTTTCCCTCTATTATCCCCAAATGTGCCAAAAAAGTCAACAACTTTTTTGGTTTTTATTAACACCAAACAGGACAACAATTTTCCTAAAGTTTCACTTTGTTTCGAGAAATTGAATTTTTGAGTTGAGACATTACACGTAAACGCTTCATATATTTATATATATATATATATATATACATATTGTCACTAAAAAATTCCTGAATTAAAACTTCCAATACGTGTATTGGAATTACAATACATAATTAGTGATAGTTTAGTAAAATTGCCTTACCTACATTAATATAATTTAATTAATTTTCATTTTACTATAAATATATTGTAAATTTCGTACATTTAAATTACAAGTATTGTAACGTCTCTCTACAATACTAATTGTAAGTATTGTAGCTTTAAAATTTCCAATATTTTTAGCAAATGAATATGTTTATATACCAATGTTAAATTGGAACAAAAAATCATAACTCTAAGAACCACTTTCACCAGCTTTAATTATACTTTAATTACTTAATCTCCGATTAACTCTCTAAAGCAAAATTCTTTTTAATTCAAGAAGAACTTTAAAAACGCTTTTGTAAGACTTACATATTTATAAAATTCTCTTATTCAGATTTTAATCTAATATTGTGTATTCAGTTTCATATAACTTTTTTAAAATTAAAATTCCTTAAGAAAATTTCGCTTTTCAGGACATTTGTTGAACAAACTAAAAAGTATTCTTGATTAAGTCACTTTATCTTAGATTAAGATGTTTCTGAATCCTTTTGAGCAATATACATCAAGATTCAAAAGTGTCATATTTATCAACTGCAATGTACTTATAAATCGTATTAAGGAAGAAAATCAAAAGTTAGTCCGATTCCATTTTCTTATTTTTAAGTCATAAAGTAATTAGATTAGTAAACAATTTCATTTTTCCTTTATTTACCAAAAATGTATCTCTTTTTTTTTGTTAAATAACTAAGACATTATTTCTAAAATACTTGTATTAGCATCTTTACATACACACATACAGTATTGAGTTAGCTAAATTTTTTCTCTGTGTATTTTATAATTTACATAAAGCATTTACTAAAATTTCGTATAACTTTTCTCTCAGCGTAATATTGATTCATTCAAGTTTTGAAATGTTACCGTTGTACATACGCAATATATGAAACGTTGCCTTAATATTGCAAGGTAATATTTTCAAAGTTGTGTGTCAATCTTGCAGCAAAATACATATATGTTTTAGAGAGAAATTATGTGTTAAGTATAGTTGGTGAAATTGGGCCTAAAAATTTTTTTATATAGAAGAAAAACAAAAAGAATTTGAAATAATTTCTAGTTATCTATTATTATTTTCAACTAAAAAGCCTGCACATTAATTATTTATCCACTTAGAACATTTTTTTACGCGAAACATGCATGAGTATTGGGTGCAATGTTTCTCAGCTAATATTAAAAATATCAATATCAGTGCAATATTTCCATTTTTATGCGAACCTAGCACCACAATAATCAGTCAATTTTTATGGAAAAATTTGTGCTAAGTAGATAAAATGTAAAAATTTATATATGTATATGTATATAAACTTAATTGCAAAAATTCCCCTAACTCCCAGCGACAAATATTCTACTGCGATTCCAAAAGTGCGTATATATGCTAATGAATCGGTAAATTTAACTGAATTTTTTACTGCTTCATTACTGAATAAACATACTTATTAGAATTAGTGGTAACTTACTTATTTATTGTTGATTCAGATTTAGAGAGTGTATTATGACTTCCATGTTGAAGAATGTAATTGTTGTTGATTTACAGAGACAATCAAAAAAACATTTTAAAAAACCAGAGCTGATTTCAGATCTTGTTTAATGTTTTTTCGATTTTCTCTGTGGCACAACATATACTTATAAAGAAGTCATATATGACGTTGACCTTTTACTGTATATCTATTAACATTCTAAATTTTAAATCAGTGAAATTTCACTATTATGAATTTAGAATGGATTTTTTGGAATAATACTTTATAAGTGAGAGGCGAGCCAGAAAAATCGGTTCTTCGATCAGCCTTTCATCATCAGTACCTAATAGGTATATACTCCTGTGATTTATAAAAACAGTGTTAACTGCACAAAAATAAAAAAGGAGTGTTTTATAGTGTTTTAAAAATTAACAATAAAATTAGAAATAATTTTTGTATAATTTGAAAATTACCTTTAATTACAAGATATATTTATGAAAAGTTTAAACAAATACAATATTGATATATTGAAAAATAAATATTTGAATACATTTTTTTGTGCAGTTGACGCTGGTTTGTAAAGTTGTGGGTTGATTATATGCATCAAGCGATCAATTGAAAAATTTCAAATGATTGCAAAATATTTCTCAAATAATCTTTTAAAAGTGGAAGCAACAAAATATCATGCAGTCCCTGGGGTCTTAATAGAGACTACTTGTACAGGAGTGCAAATGTATGAATGTATGTGTGTGCGTACCTTCCTGATTCGCCAAATAAAATATCATCGAGTTGTTTTATATAAAATATCGTGTAGATGAAATAATAAATTAAATTAACTGAAATAAAACACTTAATTCAATTATAATTTTATGTTTGTTTAATGGAATTAAACATTGTAAATAAAGCAGAAATGAAGAAAAAATAGACTGAGAAAACTGTTTCCTATACATATTTTCATCCTACCAAATTTTTTGTTTAAGATTTTTCTGTTCGACCTACCAATTTTCTTGATTAATTAAACAAAATATTAAAACTGATTACGGAATATCGAATAAATTCTGGACTCCCAATTTATTTTTAGTTTAAAACTTCTTCTTTCATAAAAGAAGATAAACTCAAAAACTATACATTCATTTGTTTTCAATGTAAATAGTGAAAATAAAAATTACTTAAAGAAGAACTTTTTAAAAACTTATGCTTCTAGTTAAGGTATAGGAAAATAAAAACTAAACTTTATGAATTTTTTAAAAACTTTTTATAAATTTGTACAGAATATTAAAAACAAATAAATATTATAGGTACATTTATATTTAATAGCATCTTGCAGCATATTAAATCGAAAATATTTTATATTTTAATTTCTCCAGGTATAAAAAATAGATTCATTATTACTTTTTTAGATAAAAGAAAAATTAAAAATGACGCTCATATGTTTGACAGAAGAGAAAAAGAAAAAATCATTTACGATTGGGAGTATTTTTAACATATAGGTATGTATACTTTTTTATTAAAATAAAAATCGTGTTTTTCAATCTTAATTGTAATTCCTTTGGTAGTTGAAATGCATATTAATTGACAATTTATATTGCGTGTAAAAAATTATCCTTAAAATTACAGAAATTATTATCGGTATAATCTTATATGACTAAAGTGCATATATAGTGGAAGATTTTTACTTTTTAGTTTACAAGTAAATATATAATTAAAGTATTTTTTCATATGACCGAAAAGTTTTCTTTTTGTTAATCGAACAGCTCATAAATTTCGAAAAATTACTTTTTTCATCAATTCATGTAGTTTAAGAAAAACCTTATATATTTTATATTAATAAGAGCCTATTAATACAAATTTGACTAAAGTATACTAATTAAGTTATTAAATATACCTTTTACTGAAAGACATCCTTTATTGATATAACTGCCATAGATAAACTTATGGGTAAGAATTCTTACTCGATTTGTTAATTAACCACTTATTATTATGATCATATTTATTGACATAAAATTTGACAAAATCAACTAGAATATTATGGCAGTAATCAATAAAAAATAACTTTCATTACAGTAGAACATTCAAAATGTATTATACAAAAAGTTGGAAAAATCGAGTCAAGCTTAAGATTGAAAATTTTTAAGAACAGATTTGAATACTTTTGAGTTTTCGAGTCGGTTCTAGAATTCGAAGATATTACAAGAAATTCGATCTTAAGTTTTCAAAATTTTCTGATTCTTAAATCCATTAAAGAATTTAGAAAATTAAATTTTTTTGAAATCTTTGAATTTCAGAATTTGTTTGAGAACGCTAAAACAATGGAGTTTCGAGCTTTTTGAAAACTTCTAATCATTAAATTTTACCAACATTTTTTTATCATAGTAGGAGAATTTAAAAATTTTGATTTTTTTCAAAAGTTATTTTTCCAATTTATTTGATTTAATTTATAATTTTAGAAAGCATAAAAGTAAAACATAACATATAGTGATTTTTAAAGGTTTTTTCACAAGCTACACGTTTGTAATGACATAATTTAATCTTGAAAATATAAGGTCAAAATATATAATTAATTTTGCTTTATCTCTAAACGACTTTTTTCAATTCAGGCGGAATAAAATATGGAATGAACTTGAAATTAAATCTTTACGCGTGATACCAAAAATAAACATGAGAAGATACGCTAACCAATATTTTGTTTATTCACACATATATATGTATACTTATATATTTAAGTTAAACTTTAATGCTTTGCATTTGTTACAACTGTACTTTAAATGAGAAAGCGACTTTACCGTCACATAATTTGCGATAAGCAATTTGTTGAATGAAAAACACTATCATCCAAATAATAAGTAGTTCTTAAATTATCTCAATTTTTAATTGATTTCATGTACATTTAATACACACACACACACACATACACACATTCAAACATACAAGTTTTACTACCTTTGGTAAAATTTTTATATTTCTAACATATTTCAGGTAAACGCAGATTTTATGCTGGCATTTTTCTGATTTTTATATAATACATATCTATAGGTAGATTTGTCTTTTATTTTGTCGTTGCGCTTAAAGTATTATTAATTAAAGATTTTTGATTTAAGTGGCGTTGATCGAGAATAAAACCTTTGCTTCAGAAAATTTTACTGATGTTACTCGCACATTTAAAATTTATTTAAATATTGAACAGAGAACAAAATATTTTAAATAATTACCATCTAGACATCTAAGTGTAACCATTATTTGGCATTAGTTTCAGTTTGTGTGCCTTATTATACTTTTCGAAAATAGCAGCGCGATCACTGCAAAATGTCCACCTAGAAGTTTATACATGCTTTTTTTTAAAAACGTTTTTCTAGCAATTTCAATATTTATCACAAAATCGAAAAAATATTAGTTATGATGGATTGTTCGTTATGTAAATGAATTTTAAACTCTTTGTATACAAATGAAAGTTTAAAAATATTTAGGATAACTGGTAGAGTTTTTGATTTTCCAATAATTGTTCAAATTATTGCATGAACGATATTCTTTTGGAACTTCTAAATGTATTTGCTCCGTACAGAAAAAGTCTACTTGAAAACAAAGTTAAATTTAGTTAGGACCTAAAATCCAAAAGACTACCTAATATCATTTAAAAGAGGTATTTTTCTAAAAACTACAAATTTTAAATGAAGAGATAATTTTCATATTCTGCGTAAGGCACATGTTTTGATGACAAAGGTGTCGATGGCATACTTTTTGGTAATTGTTGTAAATGATGATGCATTGAACTCGATGTAAGATGATTTTGACCAGATTTGAAATTGTTGTTATTATTGGTGTAATTATAGTGATGAAGCAGATGGCGGTTATTGTCGTTTTTATAATTGCTTTTTTGATTACACAAATGTACATCGTGGATGTGTAATCTCGACATCATGGATTCCGAAGCCCACATGCTCTACAAAAAAATGTTATAGTTAGATATATTATATTTTTTCAAGAAATTGTGCTTTAATACTGTAATTTTAAAAGTTTCGATGAAATAAAATTAGAATAAATTAACAAACCTTTCTTCTATGGGGATCATAATCTGGATTTCGTCGAATTCGTAAATGACGATCGGCACAGGTCCACCTTTGAGTAACTCGAAGTGGAGAATCGTCAGGATGTAACTTTCTTTGGTATTCTTCGCCCTCGCTTACTTCGTACAATGAAAATTGTTCAACTCTTTCCGTTGAATTATAACAGTTGAGCAGCATTTGAATGAGCTCATCTACTGTCGTTTGCTCCGAGATCAAAAGACTTTTGTATTTCGACTGGAAAAAAGTACATATTATATGCACATTTAGAAAACAAGCCGTTTCTATAATTGAATCGTAAATTTCGAAAAGTTGAGTCCTTTTCAAATTTCACGATTCACTTCTTATCAATGGTTATTCGTTTTAATTCTAGAAAGGATTGTCAGAAATATTACTCACTCCAGACATTAAAGCGCTGTCATATATTTTCACAAGTCCACCTCTTCGTGTTTGTAATGAAAATCTAGAATAATTTAATAGAGTTAAAAATTGTTGTGTAAAATCTTTGAAATTAAATACATGTACATTTTTTATTTTCAACCCAGTAGGCATAATGTTTGAAAAGCACCAGCAGTTTTAATAATTAATTTCAAATATTGTTTGAAATAATAAAAACCCTAAAGAGAACATTGATTGAAAATAAGTGACATACATACATCAAATATTTATAAATATATTTACCTTGAATCTCCTCGCGGGTGACAGGACTGCAAAAAAGCTGGTCTAGCATTCTCATCGAGAGGTAAGGCAGTATGTACATTGGCTTTCCTGACAGTGACTTCCATCGTCAGACAAAATAATCGTGGATCTCGATGTCTCATTCGATACTTATTTAATAGACTTTGGACCACCTCTCGACATGTCGTTTCGTATGTAATACTTAGCGTCTTGTATTCAATGTCAGAACGAAGACACTTTGCATAAACCTTTATAGTTGTCTGAAATTAGAAAACATAATCATTTAAATAGACACATCTCTACTAGTTCCAATGTGTTTTTTGGGCTCAAAATAATTCATTATTCAAAACTAATTTTCAATCTTTAGTAAAAAAATTAATTTTCTGGAGTAATCTTAGTTCACTCGAGAATAATATTCCAAAAAATTTAAGTATCAGTTTTTATTTTTACCTTTTTTCAAGTTGAAAATAAAGTCGAACGTTTTAAAAAACATCTATTATCTAGAGGGACCAACCAACTACTTTTCATTTTTTTTGTCACAATCATCAACGTAAAAAGTGGATGCTTTTCATCCCTTGTTGACTAATAAATTACTTTATATATAAGAGTTATATCTTTGAGTTACTATGTAAAAAATTTTCTATTTCTAAAAAATAATACCAAAAATCTTGAATTTTCATCTTAAACTGTTTTTTTTCACTTAATTTTTTATAAAAATCATGAAACTTATTCTATAAATTAATACAAGGTTAAAAATAAACGTAGAGAACTTTTTCCAAGAGGTTTAATCAAACTATGAACAAAGGTTTTGCTGAGTGGATATATGTAACACGAATCGATGAGACATCCAAGTACCATAATTTATTGATGAAGAATAAGATTGAGCACTTGGATATAATATTTCGCTGATTCTAATACCTATGAAAAATGCTCTCTAAATATGAATAAGTAAAATGTAAATAAATTCTCCTGTTGACAAAATTTCAAGTAAATTTTCAAAGTCATGAGGATTTTTTTAAAAAGAGTACACAATCAATGATTAAAAAAATTTTCCTCAATTTTTGTCAAGAGATCTAGATTTTCCGCAGGTTAATATTCTACAGCAGATGAGTCTTCAATTTTATTGTTCACCTGATGAAGAAGAGATAAATCTAGTTATTTGAATGCCTCATATATGAGCTAAAATTAAACTTAAAATCAGTATTAATGAAACGTAGACGTACACAACTCGTATCAATTTCATAATATATATATGTATATATAATCTCAATGCCAAGATACGTTATTCGTTGACTCGTCACCAAAGGATTTTTTAACATTACAAATCTTATCTACTTGCTGATTGTAAAATAAAAGAATTGAAAGCTGATAAGTCTCATATACAAATTATACATAAAATATATATATATATTGAATAAAGGACAATATGCATTAGAGTGAACGAAATAAAACAAGCTGATATTCAAAAGTTAAGAAAAACGGTAACAAATAATATTTGGATAAATAAAATTTATTTTGCATGATTTTTCAAACATGAATGTACCATTTCTATGCTTAGCACGTACACTATTGGAATTCAGATATTGCATTTTTCATCTCTATGAAGTACAGCAAAATTAAGTTATTTAAAAAAATTGATGTAGGAAATTTAATATTTATTATATTTTATAACTTGTAAAATAACATGCGTTTAATATTGATAAAATATCCAAAGTTTATTACAATTATTTATTAATCGTTTAATGGAAATAAACTATTTTTAAAATATATTGAGAGACAATGTTTATAAGATTGGACACATAATTTGCACTCCACTGCACGTGCATGCAGTTCCTCATTTGTTTATACTGAGATTTTGTCGACATCCTAACACAGAAAGTTGTGAGGTATTGAAATAAGATGTAACGCTCTTATTTTAATCAAATTTTCAATGAAAATAAGAGCGTTGCTTCTTATTTTAGTACTTCACAATTTTCTATGAATTATCATAAAAAAGACTTTTCGTTTAATTTCTATTAACTGAAATAGAGCTAGGTTTCTATTAAATAAAAAAGAGGATTTAAAAATAGAAAAATAATGTATTTTTTACAGTTTTTTTAAAACTTGCTGGAATATGTAGTCAAAACAGAGACAAGTTTTTTGTGATTTGACTTACTCGGTATCGTAAAACGTCTCTGTCAACACAGCATTTCTTCAGTTGTGTTGTATAGGTATTGTTTACAAATGTTTACACACAGAAAACTAAGGTATATCGTATATGCAACGTTGTCAAAAAAGAGATCACTCTATCATGTAAAATGTTAAATATTTTTATAAGTTATTTTAGATATCTATATTACACTGTAAAAAGAAGATCTTATTTTCAGATGAGTCTTAAAATCAGCGCTAGTAGCTCTAATGGAAATTGCATTGCGTAAATTCAGCAAAGCTGCCTTAAAAATGTTGCCTCTTAAAATAAGACCTCTTTTCGGCCTTAAAATAAGACTTTATTTTTACAGTGTATATTTAATTTATAATCTTTTTTCTATTATTCTCTCTTGAGATAAAGTTTCCATATAGCACATTGATTGGAACGATTCAGAAGTAGGGACAAGGTTCCTAAAATGAACACTTTGCTTTCCCATGAAGATTTTTTATGATCAATTTCTGGTAACTTATTTACTATTACAATAATTTTAAAAAGGTGTTAAGTTGTATCTTTTGGTCGTTTATTGCAGAGATATAGATTTTTAACATCAATAACTTGCTAAAATTTTACAATAAAAAGTTTAATAATAGGTCAATTAATCCGTTTTTAAATATTCTCCAAGTTGTTCATAATACTTTTAAAGATACATAAAGATTTTTTAATAAATTATGCAAAAAGGCAGAGATTTTTCAAAATACACACACGAAACATTTTTTAAAAATGTGATTTTTGGATTAAAAAGATATGACATATTTCGGACGTTCTATTAGATTTCCAGTGGAAATTCAAATCTGCCCATTCTAAACTAACCCATAACTTTAAATAAAACATTTATTATAATTTTCATGCAAACAAATTAATAATATTTTTAAATAAAAGTGAGTTCTTTTATATATATATTAAAATAAAATTTACAAAACTATGTTAAATTAAACAAAATCGTTCAAACAGATCTATATTTAAATTAAGAATTCTTTTTTCTATAAGTGTATATTTATTCTTGGAAAACTAAATCTATCATTATACTTATTTCTCACGAATCTATAGGTCTAAAAAATTTAACTTCGTATAAGTCTTATCTACCAGTACACTGACTTTGACAAATAATGGTAATGTTAATTCTCTTATCGAAAGAACGTTCTTAAGTCCCTATATGCTTTAAATAAATTTTATTTTAGTTTCTTTAGACTTTTTATTTAATTCATCTACATTGCATTTTTTTAACCAACTGTAAAATAGTGGTTCTGATCCACCACTGGACAGCAAACCGGGTAATTCTAGATCAAGGTAAGTTTAAAATATTTTTATACTGCCTGTCTGCTTCTGATATTTTTTAATTTCTTACAGCTAAAGAAAAAATATATTTTTACATACTATGTAAATTAGACAAAAAAACTCGAGCTTTATATATAATGATAAATTGATTTACTCCAAAATCTCGTCTAAGACCGGAACTACACTTTCTAAATCTAAATTAACAAAATTTCTCTGATTCTCAGCGATAAGTACCACTGATTTCAATAAAAGCGAAAAAGTGAACTTTAACTGACCCATGAGTGGAATAATTGTATATTAAAGAATTAAGATTGCCATTTTTTAAAAAAACTTTTCATGGGGAGTTTAGCACTTGTCTCTGGTTGAAGGGTTTCCACATCTTTAAATTCGATTATGGGTAAATAAAAATAGTATATTTGAGTATAAGCATTATTATCTGCGAAGATTATAATGTACATGTCCGTGTGTAAATAATTCTCAACGCTCTAAACAAACAATAGCCTGGGATCTATCCTCAGGTACTGAATTGTTTTCACTAATATAGAAAATAATTCTCACGCTTGATAGAAACTCTAACTAAGTAAAGAATATTGTTTTGCAACTGTCACACGGGGCGATCATCGATTGCGTCCTGTAAGGGGAAGTTGCATACCCCCACTCTACCCGCCGGGCCATAAACACGGAGCTCGAGGGACGCATGCACCGCGGGGGGCCTAAGCGACGTTCTCGGGCCTAATGACATTTTCTATTTATGGCCCTTAATGAGTTTTTCCAAAAAAAATAAAAAAATTTTAAATATTAACAATTTTTAATTTTTTTTAACATATTCTTATTCCTCGTAATTTCACGATTACGAGCATATGTTGTTCGAATTAAAAATGTTAATATTAAAAATGTTTATAATTATTATTAAATAATATTACATTTAATTGTTTCTTAATTTAATTATACTGTTTAACAAACAGTATAAATTAACAAACATTTTCCCTTCACACTCGCAGGCTTAGGACTGGCCTCTATATTATTATAAAAATTTACATTCATTACAAGTCAAATATGTATTAAATAAAACCAAATATATTTTAATAAAGCTTTCAAAGCTTTTATATTATACTGGCTTACAAGCAAATTTTTTAAAAGTTCTGATTTTCTGTTTTGTATAAATAAACACACATTTTTTAAACACGCCAGCCTTCACGAATAAGTGAAATGCTGCCAGTCCTAAGCCTGTAAGTGTGAAGGAAAATGTTTGTTAATTTATACTGTTTTTTAAACAGTATAATTAAATTAAGAAACAATTAAATGTAATATTATTTAATAATAATTATAAACATTTTTAATATTAACATTTTTAATTCGAACAACATATGCTCGTAATCGTGAAATTACGAGGAATAAGAATATGTTAAAAAAAATTAAAAATTGTTAATATTTAAAATTTTTTTATTTTTTTTGGAAAAACTCATTAAGGGCCATAAATAGAAAATGTCATTAGGCCCGAGAACGTCGCTTAGGCCCCCCGCGGTGCATGCGTCCCTCGAGCTCCGTGTTTATGGCCCGGCGGGTAGAGTGGGGGTATGCAACTTCCCCTTACAGGACGCAATCGATGACTGCCCGTCACACGATCTACTTTTATAATAAAGATTTTCAGGTTGAGTGAGCCTGAGTACAAGTATATGTTATAAAATTTTCCCCTTAATAATTTTATAAAACTCAAATAATTTAGTAATTCTAAATAAAGAACTTATTATTTTTGTAAAATCTCTTTAAAACATTCTAAGACACATTATAAACTGT